TCACTACATTTTTGAATGAGTATCTGTACTCTTTACTCCACTACATTTGAAATGAGTGTTGCAGTTACACATTACATTTTGCATGTACCTAGCTTTTTCTGCAGCAGTTTATTTCTGCTATAAAAGACGTGATACTGCCTATTACAGGTCACTGAAAGTACTGCATCTTGTGCGTTTTGCCCTTACCCAAACTTTTCAACAAGGCTACTTTATGTGCATGCGAGTTCCTTAGCAAGTATTTGTGGATCACAGGTGTTTTATATATAAGATGAGGACATGACTGCAGCCAGCAATGAGGCCCAAACCAGCACATCCAGTGCAAGAAGACTTTTTAATTTTACTTAACATTATTTTATTTATCCATTATACTGAAGAGACCTTTTTGAAGGATATTGTTTTTTTGTTATGTAATTTTGAGGTGTTCAGTTTTATTTTGGTTGTAGATAATAAACGTGATTGCTCTCCTCACAAATCAACTCTTTCTTGTTTTTGTTTCATGCTCTCTGTGCCTTGCCCTGGACTTTTATGTCACTTCCTGTCTCCCGTGGTGTTTGTAGTCAGTTTGTAGTCGGTTTGTTCATTGGTTCCCCTTGATTAGTCTCCACAGGTGTGTCTTATCTTGTTAAGCTTGTCTAACCCTGTGTGTATATATAGCCCTAGTTTTTCTTTAGTTCCTGGGAGTTGTCAAATGTAATGTTTGTCTGTTTGCCAGTCATTCTTTCTGTTCTTTGTTCCCTTTGGCTTGTGGCTTATTGTTTGTTCTAGTTTTTCATTAAATACCTGCACATAAATGCTTGCCTCTGCCTTTTCCCCCAGCTTCTCCACAACATTACAGTTTTTCACGGGCATGTCTCTTTGACTAGTGCATTTTTTGAGCCTGTATTTAGTATAAGTAAAATACGTAAGTACTGTTAAAATCAGATAATCTTAAGACTTTTACTCAAGTTGTTTTGAAATTGGTTATTTGTAACATGTAGTGGAGTCATTTTCACTGTAAGGTATTTGTACTTTTACTCAAGTATGGTTTTTAGGTATTCTTTACACCTCTGGTCCCATTACATCAGCGCTGAAAAATTCACTTCTTGGTGGTAGTGAGCCAAACAAATGTCATACGAGATCTTGTTGTCTCAGTTTGTGTGTCACTGCTGTTAAATCCAACATAGAGAACCAGATATGTCATTGAAGCAAATACAGACCTGCTTGTCAGATGCTTGTTTTATGGGGATATGAAGGAGTGTTTGGGGGCAGGATAAGATAAAATATACATTTTTAAACTTTTGTGTTCTACAAGTTCTACTCATTCATCAAACAAAATGAATGAACCAGATCTAGTCACAGCCAAAATATGTGAGCAAGAGTCTGTCTGTCTTTCTCCTAACTATTGTTTGTTCTCCAGCCATGGTGATACGACTTACGAATCCTCACCTCTAATGCAACATTCACAGGATTTAGTGTGGCTAACAGTCTTGGACGAGTGATAGATTATTACGAAATGGGAAATGGGAAACATGCACGCCTTTCTCATTGCGAATGAATTCCATTCAGGCTCTGAACCGCAAGTTTGGCTAGCCAACTCGACTCTAACCCCAAATGAACTCGCTTCCTTCTACACCCAATGGCTGAACCCCCACCTCTTGACCCACCAGTGATACCAGCTCTCTTTAACCAGCAGCCTGGAGACTCCTCTCGGTCTGAAGTCTTGCGTAACAGTCATATCCCATGGTTGAGCTGGCTTAGATGGGGAGAATGAGCCAAATTCACTCAGTTCCCCTTTACAAAAGAAACCCAAACACCCTCAGAAAAAAACGACATATTTTCAAAATCAGCCAGTCGTATGTAATGATTTGTGTATGGAAGCCATTTATAATTATATTGACTGTTTCAGATTCTCTTTACCGTAAACATGCTTTTGAAATCATTTACATAAGAATCATTGTTGTGTTGGAAAAGAGAACGATGGAGAGCAATGAAATGGAATTATGGAACTGAATACTTTTTTTTTTTTTTTTTAAGTTGGACTTTTTTTATGTGACACTGATTAAAAACAAGACAAAGTCACAACCTAATGGCAATAAATGTCCATCTGATTGTGTAATAAGGCTGAGTATCCATACAGATTTCCTGCTTTGATTCTGATTCACAGGCTCTTAATTCAGCTCTGTTCAAAGAGATTCTGATTCATTTGGGTATATTTCTTTTATAATATAGCTTTTTTTTTTGCTTCAAAATCAGACTACACAGTTTGTGCTGTGTATTTATTTTTTTTTATTATTTACGTAAAAGAACTGATTTGTAAGAGTCATTTATTCATGAATCAGACTACACCGTTTTTGTATTTTTTATTTTTTTTTTATCCACTAAAAAGAACTGGCTCGTAAGAGTCATTTTTTCATAAATCAGACTACACAGTTAGTAGTTTTTTTTTTTTTTTTTCATTCACACAAACAAATTATGTAAGATTTTCATTGCCATTAAGGTAGTACACGGGTTTTCAAACTTAATGCAAAGAAGATATTTTGTCAATTAATATATTCATTTATTATGATTTTAGCACATTGAAAATAAAGTAAAAAAAAAAAAAAAGTTTTGCAAACAATATGTTGTCTTATATTAAATCATGTTTAATATTTTTCCTCATATTTAACTGCCTTTATAGTTTAGGAAGGTACATAGTTTAGATACAGTACATAGTTTGTACTTAGTAATTTTATTCATGAATCAGACTACACACTTTGTACTGGTTTTTTTTTCCCATTCACTGAAAAGAACTGGTTCGTAAGAGTCATTTGTTCATAAATCAGACTCCACAATTTGTACGGTATGTTTTTGATTCACTTAAAAGAACTGGGCTGCGTTTCCCAAAAGCATCGTAAGCTTAAGTTGATTGTAGAACCATTGTCACCAATGGAGTTACGATCAACTTAGGTTTACAATGTTTTTGGGAAACGCAGAGCTGGTTTGTAAGAGTCATTTATTCATGAATCAGACTACCTTGGTCATGCTGAATGTTTTTGATTCACTGAAAAGAACTGGTTCATAAGAGTTTATTTTTTCATGATTTGGCTGAACAAGAGATCCTGCACAAATGAATTGAGGGGTTTATAAGAAAAACACCTTCATAGAGCTCTAATAACTGACAGCCCCAGCAGCAGTGGATAAAGATAAAGAGCTTCAGGTTTCTCGCAGTCTAGACCTGCCACAGCAGAAAGGGTTTGAAAATAGTGGATCAATCGGCAAGTTGCCTGGCTTCTCATCAGGTCAGCTCTTCTTTCCTGTGGCTCACAGACATACCCAAAAACCTGCATGAGCTCTAGAGCTAAGCTTAGAAAGCCAGGAAATGAGATCAGCTGGATGTGTCTTAATTGGAGATTGTACTGGGTGCTTCTCATACCAACATTCAGTCTGGCTCTCATTCATTCTCACAGTCTTTCACTCTTTCTTTCATCCCTGGATAGAGCTCGTGAATTTTGTGAAGTTAGACACCCTGGGAATTGACACACAATATCCTCCTAGCAGCGCGAGAGAGCGGTTCACATAAGAGGACTCCGTTTTCCGTTCAGCGCCAGACTTTTCATTTGGCCACATTACTGCTTTCTGGAGGCATATAAAATCGTTTGTATTGATACTGTTTAGAAGGATGTTTTTAAAGATTAAAATGACTTCAGGTAGAGAACTAAAAACAGAAAAGGGAAGAGTCTGAGCTTTGAAATGTGTAATGAATGAGTAGTGCCCTGATTTCTGTGGAAAGAGTGTAGTTCCTGTGTTTGCACAGTGTGACAGTCTCTAAAATCAGCTCTCTGTTTTTCCAGGTCTTTAAGGATGAATTTCAGCTACCTGATTTTCTTAAAGAACAAACACAGGTATGGTAGATATTCTGCCTGTCCTTAAGCTCTTCATAATAAATGGCTTTTTAAAATGAATTTTGTTCTTCCTATTTTTTTTTCTTCAGTAAATAAAATGGTGCTCATTTAATTCCACATCTGTTTCCACCCATTCTGATTCTTTGCTCTTCACGTAATTTCTGATCATAATGCTAGTTAATAAGGTGTCCTGTGGTCTCCTCTAGCCTGTGCTCCTCTGATCTCATGTTTTCATTTTTTGATCTGATCACATTAGCTGTAGATCTGTGGCCTCATTTCAAACACTCTTCCATAGTCACAGGCCGGTGTGCTAACTACGAGTCCTATACTGTCCCCTCTTGGACAGATGATGGTACAGCAGGTTTTTGAGTGATTTCATAGCGTTAGTTTTGATCTTCAAAATATGAGTAAATATGTAACTGATTTTATAAGAACACAAACAAATTATGTAAGGTAGTATGTAGGGTATGGAAGCCCGTTTCCACCACTAAATAAAAAATAAAACAAGATAATTGCGACTTTTTATCTCACAATTCTGACTTCTTTTCAGTCAGAATTGCATGATATAAACTTGCAATTGCGAGTTATAAAGTCAAAATCGCGTGTTATAAAGTCAGAATTGCAAGATATTCTGGAAAATTACACAATTCTGGAAAAAAAAAAGTCAGAATTGTGAAATAAAAAGTCACAATTACCTTGTTTTATTTTTTATTCAGTGGCGGAAACGGGCTTCCATAGTAGGGTTTTTCAAAATTAATGCAAAGAAAATATTATTTCAATTAATATTTCAATGTATTATTATTTTATTACAGTGAAAATAAAGTAAAAAAAAAAAAACGAGTAAAAACCGCAAACAATATGTTGTTTTTTTAATTGCATCATTGAATATTTTTCCTCATATTTAGCCGCCTTTATAGGAAGGGCATGTCTTGCAAGATGTTCATCATATTTGGGGGTCCTTGGTGTCAAAACGATTTGAAAAGCACCTTTAGAGGGTGTTGAGAAGTTTAAGAGGGTTTGAGTTGCTGCGATTCAAACTCTACGACTAAAGAATCACTAAATACAAATGAACATGCTCAACTCGACTCACATGCACTCTCATCAGATCTGCTCTTCTGATCTCAAGAAGAAATCAAACTTAACATCGCTGAAGGAATGCTCAGAACAATACAAATACAGTGAAAACTGTTCATTCACACAGTACACTTGGCTGTCCTGTATTGTGTCCACACATGTGTAACAGATGTTTCTCTTATCGCAGCTTCAGATGTCCCCAGAAAAGCCAAACCCAAGTTAGGAGGAGAAGACGAGAGCTTTATCAGTAGAAGTGAGCTATTATCATCTTTACTTGCAAACTTTGCTCCCTCTTTGTTTTGAATCATTTTTACAGTATAAGAGTAATTTTAAGGAAATGGTGCCGGTTGTGCTAGAAAAATATTATTATTATTATTATTAAAACAAAATGTCTGTGGTATTCTGAAAATTGCAGAAATTGTTCATTATTTGATATTACCACCAGTGATACCAGGGATGATTATTTGACATTATTTGATATTTCTGGCATCATATTTAAAGTATTATTCCAGAAACAGATTTATATTAAGTCTTAATATATTTGAACCACATGGTTCAAAGACAGAATATTGCCACATTCTTTGATACATTATTATTATTATTATTATTATTAACAACAACAACAATAATAATAAAAAAAAATAATAATAAATTGTATTACCTGTATTTTAATTTTAACTTCCTATAAAACACATTAAAAGTATTGATGAATGGGGGAAATATTCTGGGAATATATTAATGAAAATAACAACAACAACAAAAAGCTAAACATTTAAAAAATCAAAATATTTTTGTAGTTTAATAATACTTTAGCATTTTATATGTAGTCAAATCTATCAAAGAATGTGAGAGTATTCTGTGAATTTGATCAGTATTGTTTTAAGTCATGAAGAAACATTTAGCAAACAGACGTCACTGTTTCCTGAGAATCATTTGTATGTTGTATGTGTTATTTTACGATACTCATTGTGAAAGCATCATAATATGGCACACAGGTCTTCATCTGCTTACGTTCTGTCACATCAGTAGAGGTGACGGTGACGTAGCTGCTCTTTTACTCAGCTGCTGCGCTTTTGCTGTGTTTCAGGGCTGAGTAGAAGCAGATGCCGTGGGACCATGATGGACTTGCATCACCCCCGCTATGCTGGGACCTCGACAGTTCTGGCCTTTGATGTTGTACTGTAACAATTGTGGCCTAAGAATGTCATTGCTGTTCTGAATTTTGTGTTTTCTTCTTTTCTTTTAAAAAATGTGTTTTCTACACTGTACTCTAATTTTCATTAATTTTCCTGGCTACACAAACCTGTGATTCTGTTATAAGAAAATACAGTGGATTTAATTAGCAGCAAGGAAATATTTATGGAGGAGCGTTAGCTTTAGAAGATGCTATTTTAATGTTGTTTTTTAATTTTTATTTTCATGCCTTTGTAACGTGCAATTCCTTGGGTACTGAATAATGTGCAAGACTTCAAATCTTGTGTAGAGATAGACATGCATTTTGTTCTCTGCATTCACAATGGAGTGACCTTATGTACATTGAGAGCTGTAATAAATGAGCTGCCAGTGTTGAACAGAAGAGGCTCACTTGACATTTTCTCCATTGGCAGAGAAGCGCACATCGGTGATGTTTGATGTTGTTTTTACGATTGTTATTTTTGTACTTGTGTAAATCATAATTATGTACTCTTTTATTTCTTTCAATGAAATAAACCCCTGAGCGCTGTTGGCAGCCAATGTGCTGATATTAGTCACATTCTTATATTAGCAGAAGGAAACCAGGTGCCTCATTCACTTACAGTATCTAAAGACATTTGTGCGCCCTCTAGCGGTTACTCTGATACACTGCGCACATTGTCTGTGCTACTTACATTCTTTTATATTTTATACCGTTTAAAAGTTTGGGATTAAGATTTTTAAAAGAAATGTCTTATACTCACTAAGGCTGCATTTATTTGCTCAAAAAATCCAGTAAAACATAATATTGTGAAATATTCTGATTTAAAACTTTTCGTTCCTGTGATGGCAAAGCTGAATTTTCAGCATCATTACTCCAGTCCTCAGTGTCACATGATATGCTGAATTAGTTCTCAGAAACATTTATTAGGATGAAAACACTTGCGATGCTTAATATTTTTTTTGGAATCTGTCTTTTTTTTTTTTTTTTACAGGATTATTGAATGAATAGAATGTAAAAAAAAACAACTATTTATTTGAAACAGAAATATTTTGTAACATTAGAAATGGCTTTACTGTTACCTTCTGTCAATGTAATGCATAAATTGATTTGAAACTACATTTTAAATCTTATTGTCCCCAAACTTAATATTTAAATATTTTATAATATTTATAATATATTTTTTGATCTGCTGTTTAAACTTCTAAGTTATTCAAAATGTACACTATTAAGTGGAACAGACGGCTAAAAAAAAAAAGTCTGCATATGAAAATGTTTTAATCTTAAGGAACAATTTTTTTCCCCATAATACATGTACATTCAATGATACATCCGTTACAATGCATACTTCATTCTGATGTTGGCGTCCAAACAAAAATGTACATATATATTTTAAACGATTAGAAACCAGTGCACAACGTTGATAAAGGACATAACAGTCAACAAGTAACGAAGGTTTCCCACATTTCAATTGTACAGCTCTCCAGATTAGCCCAGTCTCTAAAACCAAAGTAAAAAATAGAGTCTGAAATACAGCTGACAGTAGTGTCCTCATAGAAATCCAGGGCTTTTCTCTTTATTTACAGTGCAATAATACACAAGGAAAGGAGGATAATAAATGTATCACAGTAGAAATTAAAAGAAATTATTTGTCTTTTATACACCTAATCAACAGTCTTTGAGATATGGTTTTAACATTGCACATGTGTATATGTTTTAGAGGCTTTGGTACATGAGCTCCTGTCTGAAGTAAACCTTTCATAAGGGCTAAAACATCTCTCGCACGCATTCAACCAGAACCAAGAACAAAAGGAATTGGCAAGATTTGAGGCAGTGACCAATAGTCACATCATAAGACCACTTCTCCCATAATCTCTGTCAGCTGTTAGAATAAAGTACAGTTGGTTTTGGGATTTGAAGCTGTTTGGAATAGCATACTAGCATACTACTACTTCTGCAGTATATAGTACGCATACTAATGTGTGAATTGTCTGTATGCGTGAAATACCCTGATGACCAAATGTGTAGTTTATATCAGCACCCTGCATGGAATATTAATATCCCACAATGCAATGTGCTTGACTTAGTCCATTTCCAATATATCATTTGAAGAAAATGTCAAAAGTTAAAATTTCAACTATAAATAACTTTATTTCCAAAATAACGATTGGATGTCACACTCTGCACCGCATACTGCATTTTTTTTCACATACTATTCAAGAACAAATAGTACGCAGTTCTGTGTGAAGTATTCAGTTAGCTAGTATTCCATTGCAAACAGCCTCAGGCATCAATTACATGGAAGAGTGTATGGAAGTGAATTACACTTAAAAATGTGCAACTAGTATGCAATGTTCCTTTAACAAGAGCAGTGAGACACATTAGATGATATACAGCCAAAACGTGCTAAAAGCAGGTCAAATTTAGTGACATTTCTCATTTAAAATCCAATTTTTGAACAGTCAGATCAGATTCAAGTAGTTCTTTTTCATGATTTGGGACATCATCAGAGTTGCAAAATGATAAGTGCGAGTAATCAGTAATAAAGATTGGAATGTGGAAAAATAACAGGATACTACTGTTTAAAAGATTGTAGTCAGTAAGATTTGTTTTAATGTTTTTGAATATTACAGTAATATTGTTAAATATTATTATAATTTAAAATAACTGTTTTCTATTTGAATATGTTTTAAAACGAATTTATCCCTGTGATGTTAAAGCTGAATTTTCAGCATCATTACTCCAGTCTTCAGTGTCACGTGATTCTTCAGAAATCATTCTAATATGCTGATTTACTGCTCAAGACAGCAGCTGTGCTGCTGAATAATTTTTGTGGAAACCTTGATACATTTTTATTTTTCAGGAATCTTTAAAAAAAAATAGAAAGTTCAAAAGAACAGCATTCATTTGAGATAGAAATCTTTTGTAACATTATAAATGCCTTTACTGTCACTTTGGATGAATTTAATGCATCCTCACTGAATAAAATTTATTTATTAAAAAAAATAAAATAAATCTTACTGACCCCAACCTTTTGAACAGTAGTGTACAGTATATGCAGTGTGAACAAAGCCAACCAGCATCTAAAATGTGACACGCTAAAGACTAATTAGTTTCGTCACACTCGTCTCATCAAGTGGAAGCAGTTTTCTGACCCGTGGAAGAGCCTGGACCCTTTCCAGACTTTAGGACACTAAGGGAAGTATAGTGACCCCTGATAACACCAATCACTCAGAAGCATCACGGGTGTCACGGAGCGACAGATTCAAAGTGCAGAAGTATGGACGCAGGTCGTGAAACGTGTTACAAAGGCAACGCCAACTACTTTTATTCCAAGACCATCATCATCACCATCATCCGAAACATCGAGGGAATCGTACAGAAGAAAAGGGGCAATAGAGACGCTAAACAATAAAACAAGGCATATAAATACTAGTACAAGATTATTGGCACAGTCCTTTTGGTCACACACTGTTTGGACGACTTCTTCGTGGCTTAGATATTATTTAAGGGAGCTGACGTAACGCAACCTCGTTTGAGGATTCAAAACTGTGCTCAGCTAAACTGTTCGACGCCGTTTTTTCTTTCTTTCAGAAACACCATCGTCACCGCTAAGAGTGGAATAGTTACTGTACATTTAGCGGCCATTAGGGAAAGGAAACAGTTGTCACCCCTGTATGAGGCTTCCCATTTCTTATAAAAGCAGATCTAAAAGGACCTGATCGGTGCGGTGTGTGTGCTGGAGGCGTGTACAGCAAGAAAGGAAAAAAACCTCAGTCACAGTGTGCTCAAACACCACGAGCATGCAGACAACGCCAGGGTCTGACACAACGGCATTCTGTGGCAGGCAAACGATATTAAGAGACGTCGAGGCAGATCCCGGGCCAGTCTCAAGCCTTGGGCTGTTGGGAACGAGAGAAGGAGATTCGGCCAGGCAGGACTCGGTGGGCGGCAGCCTACTCTTATTCTCACTTGTTCTCGATAAGGGTCTGCACTTTGTGTACCAGCTCCCGCGCTATTCGGAGAATGTGCTGCACGTCGTGGCGCTCGGCCATCTCTGTTAGAGAGGAACACAAAGATTTTTGATTTAAGATTGATTTAACAAACAATTACTCAATAGACTGATACTTTCAAATGGCCACATGCTGCATTTCCGGTTTAAAACTTAAAACTGTTGTGCTGTGATATTTTAAAGCTGAAGTTTGTCATTTGTGACCCTGGACCACAAAACCAGTCATAAGTCGCTGGGGTATATTTGTAGCAATAGCCAAAAATACATTGTATGGGTCAAAATTGATTTTTCTTTTATGCCAAAAATCATTAGGATATTAAGTAAAGATCATGTTCCATGAAGATATTTTGTAAATTTCCTACTGTAAATATATCAAAACTTAATTTTTGATTCGTAATATGCATTGCTAAGAACTTCATTTGGACAACTTTAAAGGTGATTTTCTCAGTATTTCGTTTTTTTTGCAACCTCAGATTCCAGATTTTAAAATAGTTGTATCTCGGCCAAATATTGTCCTATCATAACACATACATCAATGAAAAGCTTATTTATTCAGCTTTCAGATGATGTATAAATCTCAATTTCCAAAAATTGACCCTTATGACTGGTTTTGTGGTTCAGGGTCACTTTTTTTGTTATGTTTTCTTTATATAATGGTAAAACATCTATTATAAACGGTCCATAAACAAGGGTTCAGGGATCGCCTGGGGGGCTGCAAGGAGATGCTGGGTGGGTCAGCAAAAAAAAAAAAAAAAAGTAACAAATTATTTTTATTTAAAGAATATCAAAGCTAGCGTTTTAACGGAAGATATTAATTTAAAAAAATATATGTTTTAATGCATTTTTAACACATTTACAGTTTTTGATAATATTATTGTTTCATTCTGCTTTCTAAGGACTAAAGTTGGAAGTAATTTATTGAGAAATGCTATGAAAATGGAATAGTATTTTTGTATAATTGAAAGTATTTTC